TGACATAGGGACGTAGTTGTCACTTCAAATCCCATTGTAGTAGAGGTGATAGAGTCAGTCAGTCAGTCAGTCAGTCAGTCAGTTGCAACGTAGAACTACGTACGTAAGTACATAACTTCAGGTTGCCATACCACATTAGCATAGGGACGTAGTTGTCACTTCAAATCCCATTGTAGTAGAGGTGATAACAGTCAGTCAGTCAGTCAGTCAGTCAGTTGCAACGTAGAACTACGTACGTAAGTACATAACTTCAGGTTGCCATACCACATTAGCATAGGGACGTAGTTGTCACTTCAAATCCCATTGTAGTAGAGGTGATAGAGTCAGTCAGTCAGTCAGTCAGTCAGTCAGTCAGTTGCAACGTACAACTACGTACGTAAGTACATAACTTCAGGTTGCCATACCACATTAGCATAGGGACGTAGTTGTCACTTCAAATCCCATTGTAGTAGAGGTGATAGCAGTCAGTCAGTCAGTCAGTCAGTTGCAACGTACAACTACGTACGTAAGTACATAACTTCAGGTTGCCATACCACATTAGCATAGGGACGTAGTTGTCACTTCAAATCCCATTGTAGTAGAGGTGATACAGTCAGTCAGTCAGTCAGTCAGTCAGTCAGTCAGTTGCAACGTAGAACTACGTACGTAAGTACATAACTTCAGGTTGCCATACCACATTAGCATAGGGACGTAGTTGTCACTTCAAATCCCATTGTAGTAGAGGTGATACAGTCAGTCAGTCAGTCAGTCAGTCAGTCAGTCAGTCAGTTGCAACGTACAACTACGTACGTAAGTACATAACTTCAGGTTGCCATACCACATTAGCATAGGGACGTAGTTGTCACTTCAAATCCCATTGTAGTAGAGGTGATACAGTCAGTCAGTCAGTCAGTCAGTCAGTCAGTCAGTTGCAACGTACAACTACGTACGTAAGTACATAACTTCAGGTTGCCATACCACATTAGCATAGGGACGTAGTTGTCACTTCAAATCCCATTGTAGTAGAGGTGATAATCAGTCAGTCAGTCAGTCAGTCAGTTGCAACGTACAACTACGTACGTAAGTACATAACTTCAGGTTGCCATACCACATTAGCATAGGGACGTAGTTGTCACTTCAAATCCCATTGTAGTAGAGGTGATACAGTCAGTCAGTCAGTCAGTCAGTCAGTTGCAACGTACAACTACGTACGTAAGTACATAACTTCAGGTTGCCATACCACATTAGCATAGGGACGTAGTTGTCACTTCAAATCCCATTGTAGTAGAGGTGATACAGTCAGTCAGTCAGTCAGTCAGTTGCAACGTACAACTACGTACGTATGTACATAACTTTATGTTGCCATACCACATCAGCACAGAGACGCAAATGTCAAATCAAATCCCATAGCGATAAAGATAGTATAGGTATTAATGGTAATGATGAAGACTAGGGTTTGAAGATATTATTCAAGAAGTATAATTCAGTGAGATAAGGTTAGAAAGACAAAGGTAGAGGTGCTGACGAATCCAGAAGATTACGATTTGAGAGAGATCAACGAATGGATGCACTTGCGCCATTGCAAACGATTCTGAGCCATGTTTTTCAAGGTCTCTATCCATTGATGACCTTTGTCTCGCCGACCCCAACAAGGTAGTCTACATCTACCAACATGACTCAGTCCACTTGTCAGTGACTTTATGGATTTGTGCCATGTTTTGGTCTGGCCGCCCCTAGCTTTCTTCCAATCTACTCCTACACAACAAAACAAAGTTCGTCGAGGCAGTCGGTGGTTAGCGATACGTAACAACACATGTCCCAACCAGAGGTGGTAGAAGTATGAGCAGTAATGAAAAAAGATTAATGATCGAATTTATCATTCAAGATGTATACCTCAGAGGAATCGACATTAAAAAGAGGGGAAAAACGGTCATGAGGAATTCAGGAGGTTACGATTTGAGAGAACACAAAGAATGAATGCACCTGCGCCATTGCAAACGCTTTCGAGACATGTCATTCAGGGTCTCTAACCAACGATTATTATTATCTCGTGGATGTGCACTGCTAATGAGTCCCATACTAGAACGAAACGGCCATCCAGTGCTTCCAGGTATATAATGACTGATTTATAATTTCAATGAAAGTACAAAAAAGGTCATAATAGTATTATTCAGTGGAATTCAAAATAATCAAGTAACTCTTCAAACTTTGATTAACTGGACATTCTCAACAAAGGTAATCAAAATTAAATACACATATTTCTATCAGTAATTTGCAAAGTTATTGTACTTCAGCGATTGAAGTGTTGTCTGGAATATATGTTTTTAACCACTACCACGTACTTCAAGGTAACTGGTTGGATGACCAGGGATTATGTTGGAATAAAATATACATTCAGTCAATGACAATTAGTCTAAGCTATACAATTAAATACAGACTATCTGATTGAAAACGAGTGAAAACGTAATGTCTGGCAGCAGAAGATGGCGGAAGATCAAGAAAGGAAGAGTGGGAACACAATGGAATTTGTATGAAACGCATGAATAAGTGAAATTTCAGACAATGGATTGATGATGGA